ATGTGTATGTGTATGAGAATGAGGGTACATCAGCAGCTACACAATTTTTGTATTAGGTAGTCACATAGGTGGTCACATAGCCCAAAAAAATCTCTCCCTAAGAAGGGGTGAGAATGAGACCCTATAAAATTGAGCACGTGACCTTATTTTCAACCTAACTGTCCTTCTCTAGAGCCACAGTTCTGCTATATTTTTTTAAATATTTTTACTAGGGATGCACAGATACTTTTCGAGTACCAGTGCAGATACTTGGCATTTTCATGAGAACTACCGGGGTTGCAGCGGTTGCAGCTGGGGCCTGGCTCTGACACTCCACCACTGTCCTGAAATCATTAGTCTGTATTGTTTTACAAAAACTGTCACATGACAATAAACAAAAATGTATCAGTACTCGTACTTGTAAGTACTCGGCAAGTACCAGTACTCGTACTCGCAAAACCGGTATCTGTGCATCCCTTTATTTATATTTATAAAAACAAAATCGTGCATTAAAACAGAGTTGTACTAATCCCAGGAGCTCCGTGCGCTCCTTACAAATGACAGCTGCCTCCTAACTTTTGAATTTTTCTCTAGTCTAGTCTTGGAGCTCAAAAGTATCGGTACATGTACTCGTACTTGTACCGAGTACTGTACTTGGTATCTGTGCAACCCTAATTTTTACAGTGCTCCAGAAAATGCAAGAAAACAGAAAAAACAGCGCCTTCTTCTGGTGTAATACCCTTTATTAACCATAGATAAAACCAAAGAGCAGCTAACTACTCACATGTACAATGGACATCATAGCGCATACAAAACCAGCAGTACACAGCCTGGGTCTTCGAGACAGTCATTGGAAAGATGATGGACCACCACAGGATCACACAATACACAGCTGACACATTTTGGGGGAGATTCCACCCCCCCTTCCTCACAGGTAATGTAAGACTATCAGCTCTGAGGAAGGGGGAATCTCCACTGTCTACTGCTGGTTTTGTATATGCTCTGATGTCCATTGTACATGTGAGTAGTTAGCTGCTCTTTGGTTCAATCTATGGCTAATAAATGGTATTACACCAGGAGAAGGTGCTGTTTTTTTCGTTTTTTTTTGCATGTCCCATAGGAAGTATCCCAATAGCTTCCAAGATGGCAGCCTTCCTGAATGGTTTCGTTTGTGAGGAGTAAGGATGGGCCCCAGGTGTGTTCGCAGCTCCACGTGCCGAGCCCACCAGGAAGCTGACATCGCACAGCGCCAATCACAGGCACTGAGACATTTCCCGATCTCTGCAGCTGCGGACCCGGAAAATGTCTCAGTACCTGTGATTGGCGCTGTCAGCTTCCTGGCGGGCTCGGCACGTGGAGCTGCGAACACGCCCGAGCCCATC